GGATGAAGCTCCCACAACTTCCGAGGGCAACTTCTGTTCTGTCGGTTGATTGTTCTCCCTGTAAGAAAGTTTCTCCTTATTTCCAGGTTGAATCTCTCCTTGGTCAGTTTCCATCCATTATTCCTTGTCTGGCCTTTGGGTGCTTTGGAGAATAGCTTGACCCCATCCTCCTCTCTGTGGCAGCCCCTCAAATATTGGAAGGCTGCTATCCTGTCTCTCCTGGTCCTTCTCTTCACTTGGACTAGCCAGGCCCAGTTCCTGCAACTGTTCATTATATATTTCAGCCTCCAGTCCCCTCATCATCTTGGTTGCTCTTCTCTGCACTCTTTCTAGAATCTCAACATTTTTTTTATGTTGTGGTGACCAAAACTGGATGCCGTATTCTAGGTCCGGTCTTACTAAGGCTTTGTAGAGTGGTATCAGTGCCTCCTTCAATCCCTACGATAATGCAGCTGATTCCATAACTGTTTCTTAACTCTCAAAAAAATTCCCAGCTCCCGATTCACCAAGATGATCCTAAAATGGTGGTTCCCTCAAAAAGATTGGCAGCTCAGTTTCAGTGGGTGGATTAACAGACATGAAATTGGGTAAAAAAAATATTTGCGGCCGAGTACGCTTCCCCCCCACTCATCTAATGCCATAATAATAAAACGTGAGCCTTTGTCGTTCATGCTTGAATTTTCCAATATGAGCTCTGAATAACAAAAGAACAGAGTTAGAAGTAACCCCCCGTCTTCTTCGCGGAAGCCCCTCAAGTACTGGAAGACTGCTCTCATGTCACCCCCTAGTCCTTCTTTTCACTATACATAGTATAATGTATTATAATATTCATTATTATTTCATTTTACGCTGTATAATAAATACAGTGTTTCCCCCAATGTTCCTTGCTGCACAGCCAATGCAGAGCTACGAGGAAGGCACGTGTCAGGGAACCAGAATCTGGAGCTATAAAAGGACTCCATACCTTCCCCAAGGTGTGGCCTTCCTTACATGTCTCTTTTTGGAATGGTTTAGCCAGCTCTTTGATCAAATTAAATGCGGATTCTTTCTACAGAGGAACGATCGAGTCTGTTATCTGCACCTCTAGAATTGTCTGGTTTGGTTCTGCAGCCCAACAGGACAGACACAGGCTTCAGAGGATAATTAGGACTGCAGAAAAAACAATGGCTACCAACCTGCCTCCCATCGAGGACCCGTATCCTGCAAGAGTCAAAAAGAGGGCTGTGAAAATATCAACAGACCCCTCACATCCTGGACATAAACTGTTTCAACTCCTTCCCTCAAAAAGACACTATAAAGAGCCTTGCACACCAGAACAACTAGACACAACAAGTTTTTTCCTGAATGCCATCACTCTGCTAAACAAATAATTCCCTCAGCACTGTCCAACTATTTACAAAGTCTGCACTACTATTACTATTAATAATCTCATCACTCCTTATCACTCATCCTTCCCATTTGTGACTGTATGACTGTAACTTTGTCGCTGGTATCCTTATGATTTATATTGACTGTTTTCTAGTATGATTCAATTGCTTATTGTCCCCTATGACTATCATTAAGTGTTGTGCCTTATGATTCTTGACTCTTGACAAATGTATCTTTTCTTTTATGTACACTGAGAGCATTTACACCAAGACAAATTCCTTGTGTGTCCAATCACACTTGGTCAATAAAGAATCCTATCCTATCCTATCCTATCCTATCCTATCCTATCCTATCCTATCCTATCCTATCCTATTCTCAAGCCACCGCTTAAGTTCTTCGTTTGACTCATTGCTGATTTAAGTGTATTGCCAAACCTTACCTTTTCCTTCATGTACATTTCACACAGTCTTCAACTCATTTCCCAAAGGACTAACCATGGTGCAAACACCTTGAGTTCTCTGGTTTTACTTCGGGGCAAGGAAGGGAGCAGACAGCTGATTTGGGATGATTTGGGGAAGATAAACTGGATTCTGATTAATTCCTGGGTTGGATTGAGAAATCCTAGCATCTTAGGTTACCTCGGGAAGATGGCTTCCTGGAGATCTGGTGGATTTGGGATCATTTTTTAGAATTTGGGTAATGAGAGAGCACCTGAACAGAGAGAAGACAAGGCCAGAGAGACGAGGGCATAGTAGGAGAAATGCAACATGGAGAGTTTAGTTTGCTTTTGGAAGGAGTCAAGAAAGTATTTGCTTGGACATTTGTCCGAGAAAAGCACTTTCTAGAAGCTTTGCCACCAGAAAAAGGACATTCTTAAATTCCAGGGGTCTCTTCTAGAAATGGCATAATTATATGTCAAAGTTAGAAGAACTCCGAGGTCTAGCTAGTATATCATTTGTCTGAAATGGCATAGGGCTTCCTGCCTGAGCAGGGGGTTGGACTAGAAGACCTCCAAGGTCCCTTCCAACTCTGTTATTCTGTTATGTTCTGTTATTCTCCATAGCGATACCTGAACGTTCACGTCAAGCTTACGAAAAGGATAGAATTCAACGGCAACCATGCAACTCTGATTCCAACCAGTAGTTCCTATTCCTAATAGAAGAAGGTGTGAGTAACCTGATATTTTAACTGGTGGTACTTTTGGAGCAAATACACCGCCTCTGTGGCAGAATGGCACTTAGCAACCGCCTCAGCTTGCAACTGCTACTCAAGCCAGATTTGAGAAACGTCCACATTCTGCAAATAACTATTTGCTCCTATTTCTCTCCTCTCTGCCTACTCGCCTTCTCAACCATCAAAGTTGCTATTATGGAAAAAGGATGAAAAATACAACTCTACGTAACAACAATTTGGGTGTATTCTGATAGCAGGAAAACCGTTAAACTAAAGGCACAGCTACCAACTCTGAACCTCTTGAGATGCCTTCAAAGATTATGTTCTGGAAAGTTTCTCATACATCCTGAAATAGTTTCTCCATTTTGGTCCCTGCAGTCACCACCAAGACTTTCAACCCATGCTTTCTGAGGCTATTCAGAAGACCGTCGTGGTAGAACCCAACCTCCCTTAATGTTCGCGTCCTAAAGTTTGTCCTAGGCAAAGAATGGAGAATGTTTGGATGCGCTTCATAATACCAGATCTGCATACTTAACTTCCTTCCTTAACCATTTCAAGTCCACAGGTGTCTTTTACTAGCTTCTAGATTCATAAACAACCAACTGCACCCACCCCACGGCAATGAATGGGACTCCAGTTCCCATCTCTTTCTTGAGCAGTTGTGGAGGAGATATTCTCCAAGGGCCTCTCCCCTCTTTTAACAACAGCAATGAAAATGAACATTGGCGATCGAAACTCTTGTCTTAATACGACCGGATTAAAGATGAATAAATGCGTTGTAATCATATGTAGCTTAGGAGAAGGATAACAGGAAACCAGAAATAGGAGCAACTGGGTTTGCTAAATAGGTTTCTTTCCAAATAGGCTTCCGACATGTACTGGCCAAGCAACAATGTTATGGTAGCAACTTCTGCCTTTTATCTGCCTTTCGTGCAAACAGCTGCCCTCTCTCCGTCTTGTGTAACCACATAAACGCCTGCCGAATAAAATCATTTGGGGTGGTTGCAAAAGAGCTGCAGTGGCGCAGTGGTTAGAATGCAGTACTGCAGGCGACTACTGCTGACTGCCGGCTGCCTGCAATTTAGCAGTTCGAATCTCACCAGGCTCAAGGTTGACTCAGCCTTCCGTCCTTCTGAGGTGGGACCCAGATTGTTGGGGGCGAAAGGCTGACTCTGTAAACCACTTAGAGAGGGCTGTAAAAGCACCGTGAAGGGGTATATAAGTCTAAGTGCTAGTGCTATTAAGGGAGGGAGCCACCTTTGTCCCGCTTTAAATAAACGTGTGGCTCAGAGTGAATTGAACTCTGCCTCTTTGTTCATGCGGAGAGTGATGCAGAATTCCTGCTTGACCTTGGGGATGGAGATCTGGAAATTACTCTCCCGTTGCTTTTGGTGCCAGTTTCAAGGGGTCTCTTTCAAAATTGCCCACTTGGCACCAGCGATTAAACGTGGTTTTTTAAAAAAGGGAGCGTGCAACAAAGAGGATGGGTTGAGAAATGCAAAATTCAGGGTATCTGAGGAGCGGATGGGACAAGCCCACCCCATGTGTGCTAGGGAAAGAGGCCTGGTATAGGCCCCCTCTGCTAAGGAACTAAAGTCAATTGTATTAAGCAGAAGGGCCTTTTTTGCTGTGGCCCCATCTCTTTGGAACACTCTACCATCGGAGGTGAAAACTGAACCTTCTCTTTTGGCCTTCCGGAAGGGTCTCAAAACCTGGGTTTGCTGGTTGGCCTAGGGCCCTGAGGTAGGCGCTCATCATTGGAGGTGGCTGATGGGATCAGGAGACCTCACCAATGGAGGTGGCTGATGGGACGAGAAGACCTCACCACTGGAGGTGGCTG